TTTCAGGGGTTCAATCCTTATCAAGGACCCTGAGGGAAAGCCAAGCTTGGGGGGAGATATCTCTCCCCCCACTGAGGTAACTTGTATCACATTGCATATTTCCCTTTCCAATTGCATATTTCCCTTTCCAATTACATATTTGCTTTCCAATTGCATCTTATAAACTTGAAGACAACATAAAAATTTGCAAAATAGAAAATACCAAAAAAAAAGATAGGATAGGTTTGAGTTATGCTAGGTAAGACAAGCTAGTTCTCTTTGTTGAAATGATGAAGAGTTGCTCTGTTTTATATCTCTTATATATAGGTTCATAGGTAAGTGCTCTCTCAAAGGTTAAATATAAATAGCAAACAATTATCTGGGAACCTGAGGTAAATGAGCTGCAAAGGTTCAAGCTTGGGGGGTTTTGTTGACAGTCGTTATCGATCAGTTTCGACCATCAATATTGCCAAAATAGAGGAGAACTAATAATGCTTGCAATGCATATACATGTTAGAATAATAATATTCCACTAGTATTAGGTTCACTAACCTTTTGCAGAGAATAACAATAAAGTGGAGGAGAATCGACATCAACACAGACAATAAATCAATTAGGCGATGTCGAGAATTAGACTTATGTATGAGTGGGCCAAGAACTCAGAATTGACACGACAAACCGGGCCAAAATTCACAAGTCTGCAGAGAAGAACAACGGAGGAGGCCGCCAGCCAAAAATGGGCTGGATTGGGCCGGCCCCAGGTTCGGCCGAATCCTCCTCAGCGCCATCCGATCCAGGGCTTTGCCTGGACGGTGTGGATTAGCCCCCAATGACGGTTGGAGGGTATTTCCGACCATTCCAACCGTCACAACCGTCATTGGGAGGCTATAAAAGGAGTTGCTCTTCTCACTTCAGTCACACATGTCAAGCAAGAGCTCTCATATTCTCTCAAGTTAGTTTAGTAGTCTCAAGCTAGTGGAATAGGAATAGAGTAGAAATCAGGAGTCCGGAAGTCTTCGGAAGAGTTTGGGTATGGCTCTAGTAATTTTCCTTTCCTCTTTTGTAAGCTTTGTACTTTTATTAGAGTATTCTTCTTTATATATTTATGGTATCGAAATACTTTCCGAGTATATGAATGCCAACTTTTCATTATGTTCATGTTATACTGAATATGTTGCTAGGTTATCTGGGAGATGCTTTGGTGCGGGTATAATGTTTGCGTATGCAATTATACTCTATGTCATGACGATGATATTAGAGTAGTATCTGGTAGTTTAGACGTGGTGTCTAGATTATGGGATATCATTATTTGGGGTTATATGCTGCGGATGAGAGGTGGGCCCACTACTACAAAAAGGCAAATAGGTGTCGCCACTATAGGTGCCGGCACACTTAAAACCGGCACCTATAATGTCTTGCCCACCCATACGCCCACCCCCATGCTCCACATATTCAAAAACCGGCACCTTTATATCCAAATAGGTGCCGGTTTCATTTTAAAACCGGCACCTAAAACCTGTGTCAGAGAAAGGTGCCGGTTCTAGACCCTAAACCGGCACCTTTAATCTTCTCCCTCCCACCTAACCTATGCCGGTTTTTAGACAATGTGCCAATTCTCAACCCAAAACCGGCACCATTGTTTCACTAATGCTTTTCATCCCGACGGTGGGTCCTACACAAAGGTGCCGGTTCTTGGTATGACAAGTCAAAGGTGCCGGATCTCAGCCCAAATCCGGCACCTTTAATATTCTCCCTCCCACACTAGCCGTTGGTGGGCCCAACACAAAGGTGCCGGTTTTTTGTATGTGAAGACAAAGGTGCCAGTTTTTGGTCTAGAACTGGCACCTTTGTTCCGATAGTGCTTTTCATGCCTCACACAAAGGTGCCGTTGTTGGATCGAGAACCGGCACCTTTCTTCCAATAGTGCTTTTCATGCCCCACACAAAGGTGCCGGTTAGGAAGACAAAGGTGCCGGTTTTGGGTCTAGAACCAGCACCTTTGTTCCGACAGTTGTACTTATACTCCATCCCTTGCCACTCGAGCTGATTGAGCAAGAAGAGAGCGGTGCCTCTCCTTCTTGCCTGATTAGCTAGAGGAGGGGAGGAGGGTTTGCTCCATTTTTTTTGTGGCGTTTGTGTCACGCCCGGAAATTCACTAGTAATTTCCGAACTTATTTGTGCATAAAATCCTCGTCCAGGAATCAGCCGAGGTACACAAACTGACAATTTAATATACAAATCCATCATAATAATAACGTTACACACTTACAAAAGAAAAGAAAACAGCAGCGGAATTAACGGTCTAGCGATGGCTTCAGCTCCACTCCCACAGGCAGCTCAACTGGGGTATAAGCCAAACGTCTTCTCCTTCTGGATCCTTTTTCTTCAACTGAGGTTGATTGATTATTGCAAGAATGAGCATATGACATACTCAACAAGCCACACAGCAAATATGCAAGTGCACAAGGATACCAAAGGATGGCATAATATAGGCTCATTTGCGAAAGCAGCATTTAGCAAAGAGTTAAGAGTAGTAAAACAGTAGAGTAATTAATTAAAAATTTTAATCAACACTGAACAGCACACCCATGCTGTACAGGCCCAACCATCCTGAACAACCATACCCGGCTGTACAGATCTAACTCCAAACCAGGAGCTAAGCAAATTATTATCAGGTATTAACATCCATAATTATTGTGAGAGGTGTGAGACTAATCACGAAAAACATTGCTCAACCCGCCCATAACCACGGGCACGGCTATTCGAATAGTTTTACTCTGACCAGAGGTGTACCACTGTACCCACAAGACACAACCCCACATCATGTCACCATGTGCCTCAATACCACCACGGTACCTCGGAAAGGAGTTGTGACAATACCCCTTGCACAACATAATCCATTACAGCGCACCTTTCTTGGATCATAATCACCCCCTCAAAAACCAGAGGCATGGACTCCCCAGCGACCCCCGTGGACTTCTCGCCACTTCTCAGTCTGGCGCACTATAATGAATCACGCTATACAAAAGATAAAGCCGTTGCCCACGCTGGCTTGTGGTTGGCACGATAAATGTCTCACAACAGTAGCTCGCGAACCGGTCCTTAATTGTCATGAGCACGACTCTCAAAACCATGTGCTCACAACCCACCATTATCAAGTTTTAGTTGGCAAGTAATTAATTAACCAATCACGATTAACCATCGTGAACTATCATTAAGCCATCCTTAAATAATAGTGAGTCATAAGTTATCCCAATAGTGTGCTAATGTTTCTAAGCATGGCTAAGCAATCATAACTAATATCTAGCTGAACCAATATATAAAGCCCAACTAGTCAAGTTATAATAACCCAAGGTATCAAGGAATAAAGTAATCAATGCAAATTGGCGATAACAAAGGAATAAGTTCACACCACCCGGTGACATTCGAAAATAAATGCATAGTTGAAATAAATAGAGAATTTAAATATAGGATCAACATGCTCAAAGGATTGTGTTTAGGATCTGTGTGACTTGCCTTGCAATAATCGGTCTTCAAGTAATCTTCTTGATCACTTCCGACGCACTCACGAACCTTCGCAACGACGGAAACGACAAGCTAACACGCAAAACGAAGAAAAAGACTAATAAAAACCAAATAAACAGTACATATAAAGTAAACAAACATGTAGATCATGATTTTAGATGAATTTAGCAACTTGAACCACTCAAAACCGAGTTACGATGATTTAGTTATGAATTTCCGAAGATTTAATCTATTAGAAAAAACTGGAAAAGGAGAAGATGATGACGTCATGATGACATCATCAATGGCCGGACCAAGATGGCGACCTCGCCGGAGATAGAGCGACCGGCTGCGGATTTGGAGGACATGAACACGTAGAGGACGACGAGACAAACCCAACGATACTCACCCTCGTGCCAAACGACGACCGACGACGGCCGGCGACGAGGAGGCGACGGCGGCGGCTCGGGTTGCACGGGGCGGCGGAGCTCCGATGACCGGCGACGGAAAAGGAAGGGTGGCCGAGCTTCCCCTCACCACGGCGCACCCAACGGTGGTGACGGCGACCGGCGACGACGATGGAGACGGCGGCGCGGCGGCACCGGAGATGGCCGGCGGCGGCGGTTTGCTTGGCGGCGGTGGCGACGGAGCTACGGAGCACGGAAGAGGACGGGAGAGGGGGCAAACGAAAGAGGAGGACTAGGGGGTCCTATTTATAGCCTTGGATTGAAGAGTTCGGACTCCTCCCGCAAGAAATCGATCCGGGAAATCAAAAACTCGGTTTTGGAGATAAACTCGAAAACGAGTTTGATTCGGATAAGATACTCAACGATTTGCTCCGATTTTTGGGGGTAAAGATAGAGGAGGATAAGAGGAATATTTCCCCTCAGCAAAATTGGAGAAAAAGAGCAACGGGGAGGCGAGATTTGGAAGGAAGAGGCGGCGGCACTGTGCACGGCACGGCTGGCTCGGGCTCTGCCTGAGTTGGAAGATGAACAGTAGCGCAGGGAGGGAAAGTAGACTTTTCCGGCTGAGCTGAGAGGAGAGGAGGCGGCTCAGGTTGGGCCGGCGGAAGAGAGAGGAAGGAAAGGAAGGAATGGGCCGAAAATGGCCCAAGCTGAGGAGGAGGATTTTATTACTTTCCCAATTAAAATAATCACTTAAATGATCTTTGAATTATTAAAAATACTTCCAATGCTCAAATAATTTGAAGAAAAATCCTGAAAATACTTGGACACTCAAAGTACTTAAAAAAATTACAATTAGACCATTTAATGATTAATTTAATATGTGGTTAATTACTGAAATGCTCTTTGTATGATTAAAAATTAGGAATTGAGCTCCGAAAAATCCGAGAAAACTCCAGAGAGTATAATTAACCATGGAGAATTTAATAAAAATTAAATCCATCCATGCTTTATATTTAGGAAATTTTATTTCCCACATTTAACTTCACTAGTAAATTAATGAACGTTTAATATAAATTCTATTAATAATTTATTAAATAATTTATAAATCCTGAAACGAAAATCAGGATGTGACAAATCTACCCCCCTTACAAAGAATCTCATCCCGAGATTCGGAACGGCTAGAAAGAAAAAGGCATAGGTAAACTACAGTCTATCTTTTATTCCACAACTCCAATAATTATTCTAAGGTTTTAAAGAAAGCTACTGCTGCTTTGGAACTGATGGCTGAGCTGTATCCCTTGAGACGCAACCGGCACTGCATTTGCTCCTGTGAGGACAATGTTGTTGACTTGGCCTTGTGGCTGTTGACGCTTCGGCTTCGGACACTCTTTTACGAAGTGACCTGGCTCATAACAATTGAAACACACCCGATGCTCCCTTCCATTACTGTTATCTTCTTGAGACTGATCCTGCTGAAATGACACTGATTGAGTAGCTTGCTCATCATTGTCTTCATTGCTTGCATTAGTCTCTGAGTTGATCTCACCACTGATGCCCAACTGTTGTGACTGTTGTTGTGACTGTTCTTGACCTGCAGAAAAAGATTCACCAATTTGGAGTGGCTTGATACGCTGCCTCTGGCTACTACCTTGTGCCTCCTGGGATACAGTCATTTTCCTTTTACGGTTATCCATCTTGTTCTTCTTGTCTTCCAGTCGAATTGCTTTATCAACCAACTCCTGAAAATCCTCATAGTCATGAGAGATCAACATAACTGACAGTTCATCCTTCGGACCTTCCAAGAATTTCTCTTGCCTTTCCTCGTCAGTACGCACATCTTCTGGAGCATAGCGAGCCAGACGATTGAACTCATGAAGATACTCTGCCACGGTACGATCCTTTTGCTTCAAAGCCCTAAACTCACGCTTCTTCAAAGCAACAACTCCTACAGGTACGTGTGTCTTCTTGAATCCTTCGGTAAACTCTTCCCAAGTGATTGGTTGTCGTTCTGCTCTGTTCATCCGGAAATGATCCCACCATTCTGATGCAGATTAGAAAAGGTAGAAGGAGAGGGGTTACACTAAAGACAAGACCTTAACTAGGTTAACACTGATCTGATGTGTGTAGACCATTATATTGTTCAAGTTGATTAAGCAAGCAACCTAGTATAGTTACACACTCATCAATGAACTACTCCAATGATGGGAATGCAACCATACCTACACACAAAGCAAACAACAAGCGTTCTACCCTACTAACTATTCTTCAAAGACACTTTGGCGGCATAGGTTCTAAGATAGGTTCCAAACTTCACTCTATCTGAACACTTAAGATTCGACTATCATCTTCTTATTCCTCGATCCACTTGACTTGCAGAAGTTGACAACATCGACGTCTTCGAGTTTCTCCATCAAGATTAACGACTACTCAAGTTGAAAGAGGAAGGGGGAAGAACGACAAAACGATTTGCAAAGAATTCTAGATAAGGAAGAAAGGAAAATTTTCACAAATTATGTTTTCGGAAGATTTGTCCTTAAGGTTTGACCATTTGGCTTATCCTACAGTCAAGATGGCTCTGATACCAACTTGTCACGCCCGGAAATTCACTAGTAATTTCCGAACTTATTTGTGCATAAAATCCTCGTCCAGGAATCAGCCGAGGTACACAAACTGACAATTTAATATACAAATCCATCATAATAATAACGTTACACACTTACAAAAGAAAAGAAAACAGCAGCGGAATTAACGGTCTAGCGATGGCTTCAGCTCCACTCCCACAGGCAGCTCAACTGGGGTATAAGCCAAACGTCTTCTCCTTCTGGATCCTTTTTCTTCAACTGAGGTTGATTGATTATTGCAAGAATGAGCATATGACATACTCAACAAGCCACACAGCAAATATGCAAGTGCACAAGGATACCAAAGGATGGCATAATATAGGCTCATTTGCGAAAGCAGCATTTAGCAAAGAGTTAAGAGTAGTAAAACAGTAGAGTAATTAATTAAAAATTTTAATCAACACTGAACAGCACACCCATGCTGTACAGGCCCAACCATCCTGAACAACCATACCCGGCTGTACAGATCTAACTCCAAACCAGGAGCTAAGCAAATTATTATCAGGTATTAACATCCATAATTATTGTGAGAGGTGTGAGACTAATCACGAAAAACATTGCTCAACCCGCCCATAACCGCGGGCACGGCTATTCGAATAGTTTTACTCTGGCCAGAGGTGTACCACTGTACCCACAAGACACAACCCCACATCATGTCACCATGTGCCTCAATACCACCACGGTACCTCGGAAAGGAGTTGTGACAATACCCCTTGCACAACATAATCCATTACAGCGCACCTTTCCTGGATCATAATCACCCCCTCAAAAACCAGAGGCATGGACTCCCCAGCGACCCCCGTGGACTTCTCGCCACTTCTCAGTCTGGCGCACTATAATGAATCACGCTATACAAAAGATAAAGCCGTTGCCCACGCTGGCTTGTGGTTGGCACGATAAATGTCTCACAACAGTAGCTCGCGAACCGGTCCTTAATTGTCATGAGCACGACTCTCAAAACCATGTGCTCACAACCCACCATTATCAAGTTTTAGTTGGCAAGTAATTAATTAACCAATCACGATTAACCATCGTGAACTATCATTAAGCCATCCTTAAATAATAGTGAGTCATAAGTTATCCCAATAGTGTGCTAATGTTTCTAAGCATGGCTAAGCAATCATAACTAATATCTAGCTGAACCAATATATAAAGCCCAACTAGTCAAGTTATAATAACCCAAGGTATCAAGGAATAAAGTAATCAATGCAAATTGGCCATAACAAAGGAATAAGTTCACACCACCCGGTGACATTCGAAAATAAATGCACAGTTGAAATAAATAGAGAATTTAAATATAGGATCAACATGCTCAAAGGATTGTGTTTAGGATCTGTGTGACTTGCCTTGCAATAATCGGTCTTCAAGTAATCTTCTTGATCACTTCGGACGCACTCACGAACCTTCGCAACGACGGAAACGACAAGCTAACACGCAAAACGAAGAAAAAGACTAATAAAACCAAATAAACAGTACATATAAAGTAAACAAACATGTAGATCATGATTTTAGATGAATTTAGCAACTTGAACCACTCAAAACCGAGTTACGATGATTTAGTTATGAATTTCCGAAGATTTAATCTATTAGAAAAAACTGGAAAAGGAGAAGATGATGACGTCATGATGACATCATCAATGGCCGGACCAAGATGGCGACCTCGCCGGAGATAGAGCGACCGGCTGCGGATTTGGAGGACATGAACACGTAGAGGACGACGAGACGAACCCAACGATACTCACCCTCGTGCCAAACGACGACCGACGACGGCCGGCGACGAGGAGGCGACGGCGGCGGCTCGGGTTGCACGGGGCGGCGGAGCTCCGATGACCGGCGACGGAAAAGGAAGGGTGGCCGAGCTTCCCCTCACCACGGCGCACCCAACGGTGGTGACGGCGACCGGCGACGACGATGGAGACGGCGGCGCGGCGGCACCGGAGATGGCCGGCGGCGGCGGTTTGCTTGGCGGCGGTGGCGACGGAGCTACGGAGCACGGAAGAGGACGGGAGAGGGGGCAAACGAAAGAGGAGGACTAGGGGGTCCTATTTATAGCCTTGGATTGAAGAGATCGGACTCCTCCCGCAAGAAATCGATCCGGGAAATCAAAAACTCGGTTTTGGAGATAAACTCGAAAACGAGTTTGATTCGGATAAGATACTCAACAATTTGCTCCGATTTTTGGGGGTAAAGATAGAGGAGGATAAGAGGAATATTTCCCCTCAGCAAAATTGGAGAAAAAGAGCAACGGGGAGGCGAGATTTGGAAGGAAGAGGCGGCGGCACTGTGCACGGCACGGCTGGCTCGGGCTCTGCCTGAGTTGGAAGATGAACAGTAGCGCAGGGAGGGAAAGTAGACTTTTCCGGCTGAGCTGAGAGGAGAGGAGGCGGCTCAGGTTGGGCCGGCGGAAGAGAGAGGAAGGAAAGGAAGGAATGGGCCGAAAATGGCCCAAGCTGAGGAGGAGGATTTTATTACTTTCCCAATTAAAATAATCACTTAAATGATCTTTGAATTATTAAAAATACTTCCAATGCTCAAATAATTTCAAGAAAAATCCTGAAAATACTTGGACACTCAAAGTACTTAACAAAATTACAATTAGACCATTTAATGATTAATTTAATATGTGGTTAATTACTGAAATGCTCTTTGTATGATTAAAAATTAGGAATTGAGCTCCGAAAAATCCGAGAAAACTCCAGAGAGTATAATTAACCATGGAGAATTTAATAAAAATTAAATCCATCCATGCTTTATATTTAGGAAATTTTATTTCCCACATTTAACTTCACTAGTAAATTAATGAACGTTTAATATAAATTCTATTAATAATTTATTAAATAATTTATAAATCCTGAAACGAAAATCAGGATGTGACAAATCTACCCCCCTTACAAAGAATCTCGTCCCGAGATTCGGAACGGCTAGAAAGAAAAAGGCATAGGTAAACTACAGTCTATCTTTTATTCCACAACTCCAATAATTATTCTAAGGTTTTAAAGAAAGCTACTGCTGCTTTGGAACTGATGGCTGAGCTGTATCCCTTGAGACGCAACCGGCACTGCATTTGCTCCTGTGAGGACAATGTTGTTGACTTGGCCTTGTGGCTGTTGACGCTTCGGCTTCGGACACTCTTTTACGAAGTGACCTGGCTCATAACAATTGAAACACACCCGATGCTCCCTTCCATTACTGTTATCTTCTTGAGACTGATCCTGCTGAAATGACACTGATTGAGTAGCTTGCTCATCATTGTCTTCATTGCTTGCATTAGTCTCTGAGTTGATCTCACCACTGATGCCCAACTGTTGTGACTGTTCTTGACCTGCAGAAAAAGATTCACCAATTTGGAGTGGCTTGATACGCTGCCTCTGGCTACTACCTTGTGCCTCCTGGGATACAGTCATTTTCCTTTTACGGTTATCCATCTTGTTCTTCTTGTCTTCCAGTCGAATTGCTTTATCAACCAACTCCTGAAAATCCTCATAGTCATGAGAGATCAACATAACTGACAGTTCATCCTTCGGACCTTCCAAGAATTTCTCTTGCCTTTCCTCGTCAGTACGCACATCTTCTGGAGCATAGCGAGCCAGACGATTGAACTCATGAAGATACTCTGCCACGGTACGATCCTTTTGCTTCAAAGCCCTAAACTCACGCTTCTTCAAAGCAACAACTCCTACAGGTACGTGTGTCTTCTTGAATCCTTCGGTAAACTCTTCCCAAGTGATTGGTTGTCGTTCTGCTCTGTTCATCCGGAAATGATCCCACCATTCTGATGCAGATTAGAAAAGGTAGAAGGAGAGGGGTTACACTAAAGACAAGACCTTAACCAGGTTAACACTGATCTGATGTGTGTAGACCATTATATTGTTCAAGTTGATTAAGCAAGCAACCTAGTATAGTTACACACTCATCAATGAACTACTCCAATGATGGGAATGCAACCATACCTACACACAAAGCAAACAACAAGCGTTCTACCCTACTAACTATTCTTCAAAGACACTTTGGCGGCATAGGTTCTAAGATAGGTTCCAAACTTCACTCTATCTGAACACTTAAGATTCGACTATCATCTTCTTATTCCTCGATCCACTTGACTTGCAGAAGTTGACAACATCGACGTCTTCGAGTTTCTCCATCAAGATTAACGACTACTCAAGTTGAAAGAGGAAGGGGGAAGAACGACAAAACGATTTGCAAAGAATTCTAGATAAGGAAGAAAGGAAAATTTTCACAAATTATGTTTTCGGAAGATTTGTCCTTAAGGTTTGACCATTTGGCTTATCCTACAGTCAAGATGGCTCTGATACCAACTTGTCACGCCCGGAAATTCACTAGTAATTTCCGAACTTATTTGTGCATAAAATCCTCGTCCAGGAATCAGCCGAGGTACACAAACTGACAATTTAATATACAAATCCATCATAATAATAACGTTACACACTTACAAAAGAAAAGAAAACAGCAGCGGAATTAACGGTCTAGCGATGGCTTCAGCTCCACTCCCACAGGCAGCTCAACTGGGGTATAAGCCAAACGTCTTCTCCTTCTGGATCCTTTTTCTTCAACTGAGGTTGATTGATTATTGCAAGAATGAGCATATGACATACTCAACAAGCCACACAGCAAATATGCAAGTGCACAAGGATACCAAAGGATGGCATAATATAGGCTCATTTGCGAAAGCAGCATTTAGCAAAGAGTTAAGAGTAGTAAAACAGTAGAGTAATTAATTAAAAATTTTAATCAACACTGAACAGCACACCCATGCTGTACAGGCCCAACCATCCTGAACAACCATACTCGGCTGTACAGATCTAACTCCAAACCAGGAGCTAAGCAAATTATTATCAGGTATTAACATCCATAATTATTGTGAGAGGTGTGAGACTAATCACGAAAAACATTGCTCAACCCGCCCATAACCGCGGGCACGGCTATTCGAATAGTTTTACTCTGGCCAGAGGTGTACCACTGTACCCACAAGACACAACCCCACATCATGTCACCATGTGCCTCAATACCACCACGGTACCTCGGAAAGGAGTTGTGACAATACCCCTTGCACAACATAATCCATTACAGCGCACCTTTCCTGGATCATAATCACCCCCTCAAAAACCAGAGGCATGGACTCCCCAGCGACCCCCGTGGACTTCTCGCCACTTCTCAGTCTGGCGCACTATAATGAATCACGCTATACAAAAGATAAAGCCGTTGCCCACGCTGGCTTGTGGTTGGCACGATAAATGTCTCACAACAGTAGCTCGCGAACCGGTCCTTAATTGTCATGAGCACGACTCTCAAAACCATGTGCTCACAACCCACCATTATCAAGTTTTAGTTGGCAAGTAATTAATTAACCAATCACGATTAACCATCGTGAACTATCATTAAGCCATCCTTAAATAATAGTGAGTCATAAGTTATCCCAATAGTGTGCTAATGTTTCTAAGCATGGCTAAGCAATCATAACTAATATCTAGCTGAACCAATATATAAAGCCCAACTAGTCAAGTTATAATAACCCAAGGTATCAAGGAATAAAGTAATCAATGCAAATTGGCCATAACAAAGGAATAAGTTCACACCACCCGGTGACATTCGAAAATAAATGCACAGTTGAAATAAATAGAGAATTTAAATATAGGATCAACATGCTCAAAGGATTGTGTTTAGGATCTGTGTGACTTGCCTTGCAATAATCGGTCTTCAAGTAATCTTCTTGATCACTTCCGACGCACTCACGAACCTTCGCAACGACGGAAACGACAAGCTAACACGCAAAACGAAGAAAAAGACTAATAAAAACCAAATAAACAGTACATATAAAGTAAACAAACATGTAGATCATGATTTTAGATGAATTTAGCAACTTGAACCACTCAAAACCGAGTTACGATGATTTAGTTATGAATTTCCGAAGATTTAATCTATTAGAAAAAACTGGAAAAGGAGAAGATGATGACGTCATGATGACATCATCAATGGCCGGACCAAGATGGCGACCTCGCCGGAGATAGAGCGACCGGCTGTGGATTTGGAGGACATGAACACGTAGAGGACGACGAGACGAACCCAACGATACTCACCCTCGTGCCAAACGACGACCGACGACGGCCGGCGACGAGGAGGCGACGGCGGCGGCTCGGGTTGCACGGGGCGGCGGAGCTCCGATGACTGGCGACGGAAAAGGAAGGGTGGCCGAGCTTCCCCTCACCACGGCGCACCCAACGGTGGTGACGGCGACCGGCGACGACGATGGAGACGGCGGCGCGGCGGCACCGGAGATGGCCGGCGGCGGCGGTTTGCTTGGCGGCGGTGGCGACGGAGCTACGGAGCACGGAAGAGGACGGGAGAGGGGGCAAACGAAAGAGGAGGACTAGGGGGTCCTATTTATAGCCTTGGATTGAAGAGATCGGACTCCTCCCGCAAGAAATCGATCCGGGAAATCAAAAACTCGGTTTTGGAGATAAACTCGAAAACGAGTTTGATTCGGATAAGATACTCAACGATTTGCTCCGATTTTTGGGGGTAAAGATAGAGGAGGATAAGAGGAATATTTCCCCTCAGCAAAATTGGAGAAAAAGAGCAACGGGGAGGCGAGATTTGGAAGGAAGAGGCGGCGGCACTGTGCACGGCACGGCTGGCTCGGGCTCTGCCTGAGTTGGAAGATGAACAGTAGCGCAGGGAGGGAAAGTAGACTTTTCCGGCTGAGCTGAGAGGAGAGGAGGCGGCTCAGGTTGGGCCGGCGGAAGAGAGAGGAAGGAAAGGAAGGAATGGGCCGAAAATGGCCCAAGCTGAGGAGGAGGATTTTATTACTTTCCCAATTAAAATAATCACTTAAATGATCTTTGAATTATTAAAAATACTTCCAATGCTCAAATAATTTCAAGAAAAATCCTGAAAATACTTGGACACTCAAAGTACTTAACAAAATTACAATTAGACCATTTAATGATTAATTTAATATGTGGTTAATTACTGAAATGCTCTTTGTATGATTAAAAATTATGAATTGAGCTCCGAAAAATCCGAGAAAACTCCAGAGAGTATAATTAACCATGGAGAATTTAATAAAAATTAAATCCATCCATGCTTTATATTTAGGAAATTTTATTTCCCACATTTAACTTCACTAGTAAATTAATGAACGTTTAATATAAATTCTATTAATAATTTATTAAATAATTTATAAATCCTGAAACGAAAATCAGGATGTGACAGTTTGGTTAAATATTGAAGCCTAAAGGTAAATATTCATTATTTCTCGCTTCGTTTAACTCTTGGTTGTTGATTTGAATTGTCGTGTGCTGCACGTATGCATGTAAAATACGCTATGGGTGTTGTTTTTAGGGATAATTCTTTTTATCTCTTTTGTGTCTATTGTTGGATGAAATGCTAAATTTGCGTTAATGTTTTCTTCGATCTACGTCATGGCCATTAGTCAAATTAATGCTTGTCAAACTATGTTAAGGCCACGAAAATATCCATTGATAGTTTGATTTATCTCAAATTTATGTTAAGGGTGCCCATCGATCCGCTAGAGGAGGTGGAAGCGGTTTTGCTTGATTTTTCTTGGGTTTTGGTTGAAGATTAAAGCCTACAAGGTAAATATTCAGAATTTCTCACCCCGATTCACACCCGCTCGTTGAATTGAACTGCCATGCAGTAATACATGTAAAATGCACTAGTCATTAATTTGTATGGATCCATAAGTCATTCGTAGATCTGTTCTCGGGTGTTATGCTAAATTTGAATTAATGGTTTATTCCATCTATGCCATCGTCATTAATGTTTCACATTAGCCAAATATTATTTCGGATTGACAAAAAATAGAATTTTTTTAATATTTTTGTTAGCCATGACTATCTAATTAAGGTGACGTGGGTGTGTGCAAAAACCTCTATTTTGTCGTAGGGTAAAATGGTCATTCCTAGTTGTTTTTATTCTAATGTGCTTGTAAATGATGAAATCTTCATTGTTTTTTTCCTTCATGGTTTGTAATAAATGATAATAACCGCAGGTACCCACTGGATATAATGGATCTAGAATGGATAACTATAGCGGATCGTGACTCTGTGGAGTATTTCAGGGGAGTAACGGCTCTCGTTGCCACGTCCACCAGCACAAACTTAGTCGATGCACCAGAATATATTTGGTGTCCATGCCATGATTGTAAGAAAGACAGACAACTTCCAGCTCAGCGGGTCCATTCACATATCCTTACAAGGGGTTTTATGGACAATTTCCTTAGCGAGGAGAATCAAGGTGAGGGAAGTGCTGGCAACTGTCATGGGCATGATGCGGATGTAGGCTACGAGGAGGAGGAGGACCAAACATGTGTCGATCACGGTGAACCTAATCTAGATCAGATGTTGCGCGACGGGGAGAGATTTGACACTGATGATAGGGAATATCACAAGTTCACAACCATGGTGAAGGACTCCAAAACTCCAATTTACAATGGATGTAAGGCAGAGCACAGCAAGCTCCAAGTGGTCCTATCGCTGCTTCACTTGAAGGCGAGCAACGGATGGTCTGATAAGAGCTTCATGAGTTGCTAGAGCTCTTGAAAGAAATTCTTCCTACAGACAATGTCTTGCCAGAATCGACGTACCAACCCAAAAAAGTTACATGTCCCCTTAGTCTTGACATACAGAAAATTCACGCTTGTCTAAATGATTGCATTCTGTATCGTGGTGAATTTGCAGATTTGGAGTAATGCCCGGTATGCAAGGGAGCGGAAGCACATGTGCATCCACATCGAGCGG